CAGCCTGATAGGAGAGAATTACAGTAATCCAGCCTAGAGGTAACAAAGGCATGGACTAGTTTTTCTGCATCGCTCTGAGACAATATGCGTCTAATTTTTGAGATATTGCGCAGGTGGAAAAAGGCTGTCCTAGAAATTTGTTGAATGTGGGAGCTAAAAGCTAAATCCTGATCAAATACAACTCCTAGATTACGCACAGTGGGGTTGGATGCCAGGCTGATACCATCAAATGTAGCTAAATTACTAGAGAACGCCTCTCTAAGGTGTTTAGGACCGAGGACCAGAACTTCAGTTTTGTCTGAGTTGAGCATTAGAAAGTTATTGGTCATCCAGGATTTTATATCTTTGAGGCAGGCTTCTAACCTAGCAACCTGGCCTGCTTCCTCTGGCTTTATGGATAGGTATAGCTGGGTGTCATCTGCATAACAGTGGAAATTAATCGAATACTTCCTCATAATTTTACCCAGCGGAATCATATACAGGGTGAAGAGGATTGGACCGAGCACTGACCCTTGCGGCACACCGTAGCACACTTTGGTGTGTGCAGAGGATTTATTATTTACATTGACAAACTGGGATCGATCTGTAAGGTACGATTTAAACCAGGAGAGAGCTGATCCTGCTATGCCTATAGATTGTTCTAGTCTCTGAAGCAGGATGGAGTGGTCAATTGTGTCAAATGCTGCACTAAGATCTAACAGGACTAGAACAGAGAGAAAACCATTGTCTGAGGCCATGAGTAGGTCATTTGACACCTTTAGCAGAGCAGTCTCTGTGCTGTGATGGGTTCTAAACCCAGACTGGAAATCCTCTAATAAACCATTGTTATGGAGAAAATCACAGAGTTGATTCGCAACAACTTTCTCTAGGATTTTAGAAATAAAAGGAAGGTTGGATATTGGTCTATAGTTAGCTAGGGAGCTTGAGTCTAGAGTAGGTTTTTTAAGGAGAGGCTTAATCAATGCAGTCTTGAAAGACTGGGGAACATATCCTGTTAATAAAGACGTGTTAATCATTTTGAGCAGGGACGTACTAATCAAAGGAAGAGTTTCCTTCAGCAATTTAGATGGAATTGGGTCTAAGAGACACGTCGATGGTTTGGCTGCTAGCACCACTGATTTTAACTCAGGAAGGTCAACAGGTACAAAATTACTAAGGTGCACCAGAGGCCTTAGGGGCTCCTCAACATTTTTAGGGTTATCTGAGAGAGAGACACTTGGTGGAGTCAATAGGTTACTAATTTTACCTCTTATTTTTAAGATTTTATCATTGAAGAAGCTCAGGAAGTCATTGCTGCTAAGGGCTAATGGGATACATGGTTCAGTGGTGCTCGGACAGTCTGTCAGCCTGGCTACAGTGCTGAAGAGATATCTTGGGTTATTCTTATTTTCCTCAATAAGAGACGAGTAGTAGGTTGTCCGAGCACGTCGTAGGGCTTTCTTATATTTATCGAGACATTCCTGCCAGAGAAAACGAGCTTCAGCTGTTTTGGAGGAGCGCCAAATCCTTTCACATTTTCTTAATAACTGTTTCAGCTCACGGGTTTCAGCATTATACCACGGGGCTAGCCTCTCGCGTGTAATAGTTTTCTGTCGAAGAGGGGCAACTGAGTCTAGAACTGATCGCAGTGTGCCTGAGGTATCATCAACAAACTGGTCGAGTTGCAAGGGACTGATGTTTAAATATGAGCTATCAGTAAAGTTTTTCTCAACTACAGAATTTAGAGCAGACGGAATTACCTCCTTGAACTTAGTAACAGCATTTTCAGACAACCTTCTAGTTAGCACGACTTTGTTGTGAGGAGAGTAACCTGAGAGCACAAATTCAAAAGTTACTAGACAGTGATCAGATAATAGAGGATTTAATGAGCTGACTAACAGGGCATCAGTTTCGAGGCCATAAGCCAGGACGAGATCGAGAGTGTGGTTAAAGCAGTGCGTAGGTCTATGTACACACTGTGTAAACCCAATTGAATCTAGCAAGGACCGAAAAGAAATGCTTAGGCTATCATTTTCCACATCTATGTGAATATTAAAGTCACCGACGACGATGACTTTATCTGCGAGAAGGACTAATTCGGATAGGAACACTGAGAACTCTGACAAAAACTCAGAGTATGGGCTCGGAGGGCGGTAAACTATAGCAAATACCAGTGGTCTCATGGACTTTGAGGCTGGGTGCGGGAGACTGAGAACGAGACTTTCAAAAGAGTTATAATCTAGTTTTGGTCTTGGGTTAATTCTAAGACTGGAATTGTAGATAGCTGCAACTCCACCACCTCGGCCGGAGTCTCGAGGAATGTGAAAGTTTAGGTGGCTAGGAGGAGTGGATTCATTTAAACTTACATATTCATCCTTACGCAGCCATGTTTCGGTTAGGGACAGTAAATCAATGCGATGATCAGAGATTAGTTCCCCGGGAGACACTGAACTATGGCCGCTGACTTCGCTAATTTCACATTTCGGACTACAGAGTCTCCAATCACAAGAGCGTCAGGCTCAGCAGGTGTGTTGCTGAGAGGGGCAAATTTGTTTGAAGTGTGAATGTGGTGGTCTACCGTGGGCTTCTTAGGTCTACTGCTATGCTTCCCTTTCACAGTGACCCAACCACTACTACATCCCGGCTGCTCGGGATTCGCCGGGGGGGAGGCTAAGCTAGGCCGACCCGCACCGGCTACCGAGTCCTGGCTGGCTATCGCTACACTAGCATCGGTGCGGAGCCGCTTTTCTAACTCTGTAATCCTCGTCTCCAGAGCTAAGAATAAACTACACTTAAAGCAGGTATCGTTATCGTCTAAGGAGGACGAGGAGTAACTGAACATCTGACACACTGAGCAGAAGCGAGCAGGAGAAGCAGGCGACCGGGGGGAAGCCATCGTTAGCAAGTGTAGCTAAGAGAAGCTAAGCTAGGAGCTAATAAAGTAAATGGTCAGAGAGATCGCCCGGAGTGGAGACAAAAACGGTGCTTGGTGAAAACTATCAGAAATACTTACAGACTTTCTAAACAGACAGATGTACTGATAAATTACAGATAGAAAATAAACCAAAACAGCAAGAGAGCGCTTTCAGGAGGAAACGAAACGCTACACACAGTTCAACAGCAAGGAAGGGAATGAAGCAATGCGCACGCTCACCAGTCAGGAGGAGGAGTCAGAATCCAGAAGATCATCGAGCAGATGATCAAATATAACAATAATAATGTAACAATAATAATACTTTTTATAACAACAAATAAAACAAATTTTTGAACGGCTGCAACAGCAGATATAAAAATATAATACAATAAAAAATTTCAACTATATACACAAATTTACAAGTTGGATGGGGGGGGGCATGGCTGAAACAGAGGAGCCTGGCTCGTTCCCCCCCGAGGCTGTCACCCCAGCTAAGGTTCCACTGGTTCCAAATTCAGTGTGAAATCCTGAGCTTCAAAAACTAATTTATAAATTTGAAATTTAACTTGCTCCTTAGCCTGGGGTGACAGCCTCGCGAGGGAAGGAGCCAGGCCTAGGAGGAAATGCTCCTCCTCGGGATAGCGAGATGTGGGTGGTGGTGGTGGTGGTGGTGGAGGGGGAGTCTGCTGCCTCCTCGGGGCCTGACAGAGGAGCTCCTCAATCTCCTCCAGTCGTGAGGAGGGAGGCGTCCTCCTCTTCCTCCCTGTCATAAAAAAAAAACTAATCGGTTACTATTTGTTTTATAATTTCTATGTGACCTTGAGCAATTTCATTGAATATATGGTTAATATTTAATTTCTATACCTCTTGGCCTGGCTGCAGTGGGGCCCGAGGCATCACCTGCCGCAGTTGAGGGAGCAGGAGAAGCTGACGGGGCAGGAGAGGGAGCTGAAGCAGGAGATGGAGCTGGGGCAGGAGAGGGAGCTGCTGCAGGAGAGGGAGCTGAAGCAGGAGAGGGAGCAGGCTTATCTTTAGTTAAAGTTGTGACAAAAATGTCTGAAATCAAAACTCTGCAATCAGGCAACATTGTTATTCAAATAAAAAATGTTCACACATTACATGTGCATGACTTGATCTGTCCATCTTAAATTAGACTACAATGGTGTGTTTAAACCATGAGGGGACTCAAATTTATTTGCTATGTTTTTCACTCATCAACCAACCGTCAAACTCCACTCCTGGGGGGCCTGCTTCCTCCAGGTCTTCAGGCATCCCAGCAGAAGAAGCAGCATTTTCTGCGGTGAAGTCTTCCTCGACCTCCCGAGACATGTTGCTTGACGTGTCCCTCGGGGCAATAAAGGGGTCGAGGAAGGACATCACCGCAGTGAAACGCCACTTCCTCTGCTGGGAGGCCGCCGACCCGCTTCTCCCGCCTTCTTTCTCCCTCCTTTTCTCCCTCAAGTAAACGTCCCGCAGCCCCTTCCACCGCTTGCGGCACACATCCACTGCAAAGACACACACACATACGTTGAAACATGTAGCCTAGCATACAGGGGCAGTTAGCTATGTTTTCATAAAACTGTCCGCTCACTGAAATAAATACACAAACAAACTTACCAGAAAGCCCGACATCATGGGCCACCTTCACCCATGCCTCGTCCTTGGAGGTGCGGTCCCGGTACAGTCCGCACCCCACGTCGTACAGGACCGGGTGGAAGCTTACCGCCGTAATTAACTGTTCCTCCATTGTTTGATTTTCCCCTCCTCCTCCTTGCTTCGCCGGTTTGTTGACGTCAGCAGAGCCCTAATTGGCTGTCGCGGCACGGAGTCGCGGCTAGTCGCTCCCAAAGATCAAATATTTGAACTTTGGGAGCGACGCGACTTGGCGTCCTGCGACGACCTGGTCGCCCGGTCGCGCATGGTCGCGTCGCAGGAAGCCGGCGGTCGCCAAGTCGCGTCAGGTCGCGGCTGGCCATAGACTTTGCATTGGGAGCCGTCGCCAAGTCGCGTCAGGTCGCGTTTGGTCTGAACGCGGCTTAAATCTGTGTATTTTTTTACTGCACTTGCTCAAGACATGACAGATGTAAAGTTAGCCAGGTTCTTCAAAGGCGGTTTATGCATTCAGACTTAATCATTATAATTATTATTGGTAGTATTAGTATGTTTGTGATGACATACTTGCAGATCTTGTTGGCAGCTGGACTTCCTGCCACTCCATAGAAGTTAAAGGACACAGGAGCTGTAGCCTTCAGAGGGTTTCTGTGAAACCAGTGTGCCATCCTGTGGTTAGAGACACACCTAATGGGTTAAAAACAGACAGGATGACAGTAAGATAGTGGATTATTTAAACAGCATCTCTCCCTCTATTATAATGTATAAGCAGTGATATCAGTGACTCTGTGTTTCTCTGTTAGATCTTCATGAACATTCAGCTCTATGATAACATCTGTGTCATCTGTTAACATTACAGACACTGTAGCTCTTATAGCTTTGTCATCACTCTAGAAATGTTAACTTAATGTGTTCAGAGAGCCGCCAAGCTGAGATATATGTTCATTTTAAAACGTTAAATTCATATATTTTTATAATTTAAGTGAAAATTTTCTCCATCCGCTGTTGACAAAGTCCATTACGTAAGCTACGACAGGAGGAAGCTAACGGCTACGGCTACAAAGGTAGAAAAACAAACGGTTATTTAAAGTTACACCGAAAATGACTCCTCATACAAACGTTTAATTTGATTTAAACGTATTATAGATATTATCATATACCTAAAACTCTGTACCTGTCGCCTCGACGCTGGAGAATGTAGTTTAACAACCCTTGACGAGAACCACAACGACAACGACTTACTTTCGGAAATAAACGTAAGAAGTGAGTGACCAATAGGAGCGCAGGGTTTCAGTCAGGTGACGCAGATCGCACACAGTAAGGCCCTCATCTACATTAATTGATATTGATGTATTTTATTGTATATTGATGTATTTTTATTGTATATTGATATAGGATCTTAGTCATGTACAGCGTCTTTGAGTCTGTGAAAAGCGCTTAACAAATAAAATGTATTATTATTATTATTATTATTATTAACACAATTTCATGACACGGAAGACAAGATAAGCAGAGAATGCTTTGTCTACAGGGGGCGCCAAAGTTGACACAAACCAAAAGTTCTTCACAGGAGCTGTAACAAACATCTGCACTTCAGAGCAACCTATTGTATGTTTTTTTTCTGTACCGGCTAAAACCATTCAAACTGTTTTTACCAACCAAATGTGCCATTATTTAATATTTTATAATTATTTATAATTATTTTTTTGTGTTTATCTCATTATGAGGGCAGAAGCAATGAATACTGTTAATTAGGTTTGAGGGTAAATGTCAGAAGGGTCAGCTGCAGATAAACAGACTCCTGCTCTCTGACTTTAATTCTCCTCATAATCAAATGTAACTGTAGAGATGGTTTGACAGATTGTCAAGTTAAAACATCGCTAATATTCACTGAAACAAATAGGAAAAGTCTACAGCACACAATATAATTATAACACAAGGTCAATCATGTAAAGCAACTCATGGCAACACAATGACCTGGTAACAAGAGGGAAAGCACACAGGCTGTAAACAAAGACGGTCAAACACAACTCTTGTGAGTCATTTCTGTGACGTTTTCTGTGTGTTTCCATGAACGCACACACACGAACTCAGTGACTTTCACCCTCTGATGCCAGATGTAATAACCTCTGCTTGAAATTGAATTTCCATAAAAGGCTCTTTTTTTCCTCACCATCACTGCTGCTTCTCCATTCCCTCTCATTCTTACTTTTGCATTATTCTCTTCTATTACTCTCTTATCCTTCTCAGCTCTTCTCTTTGTTTCCTGTTCTTAGGCTGCATACCCGTATTCTTCATTCTCCACCTCCCTTTAGCCCTCAACCCTCCACCTCCTCTCCTCCCTGTGGTCCAGTCATTCCTCTCTTCTACTCCTTCTTTTGCCCCAAGCATATCTCTCCTCCTACATGGCCTCGTCTAATCTCCCCCACCTCCATTTATTTATATCAATGACCAAAAGTCATCCTTTCATCTTCCTCCAGATGAGCAGACTGCATGTGGAAGAGGACAGAAAAACAGAGGCTGAACATAGACGAACACAGTTTCTCTAAGTCCTTAAATTCAAATGTAACAACTGTGGGAATATTGCATAAACTCTCCCTCTGAGATGATGCGGTGTGTTTTGGCTGGCTTCAAATCAACGTTGATACCCAACTGTAGAAATCAGTTTGAATATATTTACTTTAGCATTCACACTGCAGACTATTTTGAAAAAGAAGAAGAAAAAAAACTCTTTGTCATGTCAAATTCACCTTTGGCTCATGACTGGACCTTACATCCAACCAACTGGACTGGAAAACATGCAAATATCTGCGTTGTTGTGGTGCCCTGGTGACATGAGCTGTTAAACCGAGCAACATTTTTCATGGGTTGGTGTTGGTGGGATGTGAGTTCCCTCTGTGATAAGGTTCGGTCTAGGATCATCCATTGAGATGCTTAGTGGCAATTTAAACAAGTAGCTGTAGAGATGCTCATTTTTGCCACTAGGTGTCAGCGGCATTATTATCATGGTATTTACTGGCGCTATTGTGCAGATTTAGCAGTAAATAAACCCAGTAAAAAATATAAGATTGAAAAAACAGCAGTAGGAGACATGCTACCTACATATACAACTGTCTTAAGGTGCACAAGCATCAGGTGGATTTGGGTTGAGTTTGTACTTATAGTGTACTTGCATCTGAGGCTAATTTATCGTACCAGCCATGTTTAGCAGTGGCTTAATAACATAACAATTTGAAATGTTTGATGGTATGAAGATTTCATTTTTAGTTTTGTAACAGCAATATTCTACAAAGAGTCTGCTATCAGCAACAAGTGCACTGTAATCCGCACTGCCTACATGCTTCGCTCTCATTTTTATTCATAAACGTGTCCTGATACGTGTTCATAACAGAGACACAGCCAGCTACTGAGTTGAGGTCAGTTTAATATTTTAAATTTGTTGTTTTTATGCTGCTCCAAACTTTCCAGGTTTAGAGAGAGTAAATTCAGTCAGATGTTTTGCAGAAATGATTAACTTGAAATCAGTGTAGATGAAGCTGCAGCTGAGAGTTTAGTGAACTCTGTCTGCCCAGCCTGATAATAGTACGAGTGGAAAAAAACCTGAAGGGGAATGGCACTAGCACAGACCCCTGAGGGACACCAGTGATGCTCCTCAGAAGGGCTTTAGAGTCCTTGGGCTCTATTTTCATGTCCGCCGGTGAGGCGGCAGAGGGTGGCGGACCCCACGCAGTGGTATTTTCATTTGGCGGAGCCCGGTGCACATCCAGTTTTGGCATACGTCACCGATGCCTCACCGGCAGGTTTCCACAGTTTCAGGCACATTTTAGTGAAATAAATAATCAACAACAACTAATAATCTGAGTCAGCACATACATTAAATATCTAGTAAAAAGGCACAAAAGATGAAGGTAACAAGATATGTAATTCAGACAGGAACAAAAATAGAGCCCTTTGTCTGATTATGATTTGTTGTTTGTGAAGACTACATGAAGCTTTTCCAATATGCCAATTAGATATAAAGCCTTTTATGCATTAATAAAAATATCTAATCAGAATTTTCTACCTTCACATTCACCCAAAGCATTGAGGATAAGGCAAGATTGCTCCAAACTCCACGGTTGGGTTAGAGCAGGGGTGGGCAATTAATTTTTACATGGGGCCACATGAGAAACCTGAACTGTGTTGGAGGGCCAAACCAACAATAACTTTGACTTCAAATCAGGGGGGTTCACACATACAGAAAAGCAAGCCAAATAAGCAACTACTAGTTAAAAACAAGCCCAAAAAAGTGCACCCGCGACTCACGAGTTTTACAAGCGACTTCTGAGAGAAACAAAGTCGTTTATAACAAGCGGACTTGGCAACTATAAGACCTCTACAAATATTTTACCGATGTTTAAACTTGTCTCTGTTTAAACGGAAATTAAACAACAGCTAGGTTTTCAAAATAAAAGCAACTCACTTGCATATTGATGATTTGATTGTTGGATCGTACAAAGGGCCGGGCAGGGACATCCAAAGGGCCGGATGTGGACCTCGTGCCATAAAATGCCCAGGGGCCTCATGTATCAACGCTTGCGGCGCAAGAAAACCTTGTGTACGCCAAAATCGGCGCACACGTCCAGATTTATCATCGCGAAACGAGCGTCGGTTCCAGCGCTAATCAACGCAAAGTCAGGAGGTGGTGTAGAAATTGGCGTTGAGCTGGATATTTGCGTTGACTGTGATTCGCACTTTGGCGACGCTGTGTGGCGGTGTTTGGTGACTCACTATGTGACAAGCGTGCACCACATCCCCGTGGCCGGGCAGCACGTCGCCCCACATGACGAACCAGCAGCAGACGGAGGGATGCGAGCTGATCCCTGCCGGGCCGCCATCCTCGCGCGGGAGAATCTCATCGCCACAGTGTGAATGGGTAAGAAGTGAATACACAGTTCAATGAGCCAAATTAATTTATTTTCTCCACCAGACGCTCGAGGAAATTTACGAGCTGGTCCAGCCGCTCGTTGATCCCCGCGATCCCCCTGATGATTTCTTCCTGCGATTGCAGGACCCCCTCCGCGAGGACCCTTCCACTGCGTCCGGGTGGTCCAGCGGAAGCGCCGCGGCTGGTGGACGCTCCACCGCTTGTCGGCGCGCTGGTGCTGATGCTGGTGCTGGGGCCGGGGGCCGGGGTGGCCCGAATGCCGCTGGTCCTGGCCGACGACTCCGAGCCGGCGGACGGGCTGCCGCGGGCCAGGGTTCCGCAAGCCGGCGACACGGCCGACACATTAATTTCTGTGACACAATAAAAATATTAGTTCATTTCAATTCCTGCTTCTGTGTATCTGTTGCGTTTACATCTCTCTCCACGGTATCATAGGTAATGTAATCCAGTATTTCGAGGTCAGTTATGCACATTACAGTTGTTTATTGCATAAAAAGTTATCGAAAAATGAAGTTAAGGGCGAAGTATAAATCACGTCTAAAAATAGACTGAATCCCGACGTTGAAATGAAGTATAAACTTAGACTAGACGTCTAATATACGTCTTTTGCTCAGTGGGATGACAAAGCATGTGGACATTTGTGTGACACGCCACTTACCCTATAATAATAATCGCCACCACCCGCTGCTCAAACGGTGTGAGGGTCTCCTCCCCCGGACCCCCACCTGTCTGGCCGGTACTCCTCCGGAGGGCAGCTGTACACCGCTTGACCTCCACCTTGAGGTCCGACCACTTTTTTTTAATCTCCGCGGGGGTGCGTGTCTCGGAACCCACCGCATTCACCCTCTCGCAAACTTTCTCCCACTCCAAGCGTTTTTGTTTTGCACTGACGCCACTGGACAGGCTGCCAAACAAAACACGCTGTCGCTCCTCCACCTCCGCCACCAGCACCTCCACCTCGCTCGCCGTAAATGTAGTTTTTCTTGTCATTTTGTCTGCGTGCGAGGACAGGGAGACCCTATTTAAATAAATCTGCATATTTATAGGAGGGCGTAACGGGGACGGGCCCAGTCACTCCGACATCTGCGCTCAATTCCACGCTGATTGGGATTTATCAAGGAAACACATGTGGATTTCGGCGCCCGCACACATTGATACATACGGATTTTTTTCAGCGTGACGGACCTTGCGTGCGCTCGTTTCTGGTATGAGTTCCACGCAAGTGTTGATACATGAGGCCCCTGGTCTGGGTTAGAGTAAGACACTTAATAACTGTGGCGCATGGTAAGAGTAGTTTTGTAATGATATAC